TGTGCAAGTTCAGGACATTTTTGTGCCCTGAGATCACACCGAGGATGTTTAAAGCGAGTGTCTGACGATCAGGCTCCTTATCTCCCATGATGAGACTTACCACCGCACTATTTTTCCCATTTCTTGAGACAACAAAAAAAAAAAAAAAAGGAGCAAAGACAGAGCAACAGAAAATCCAATACAAAGATGTAAACATAATCAAAAAGTTGTTCAACAAGTGTCATCCTTCAACTACACTTTAAGGACCATCTGAGGGAAACCGTCTCATCTTGGGAACTACACTTTAAGGACCATCTGAGGGAAACCGTCTCACCTTGAGAACTACACTTTAAGGACCATCTGAGGGAAATCCGTCTCATCTTGGGAACTACACTTTAAGGACCATCTGAGGGAAACTGTCTCACCTTGAGAACTACACTTTAAGGACCATCTGAGGGAAACCGTCTCATCTTGGGAACTACACTTTAAGGACCATCTGAGGGAAACCGTCTCATCTTTGGAACTACACTTTAAGGACCATCTGAGGGAAACCGTCTCATCTTGGGAACTACACTTTAAGGACCATCTGAGGGAAACCGTCTCATCTTGGGAACTACACTTTAAGGACCATCTGAGGGAAACCGTCTCATCTTGGGAACTACACTTTAAGGACCATCTGAGGGAAACCGTCTCATCTTGGGAACTACACTTTAAGGACCATCTGAGGGAAACCGTCTCATCTTGGGAACTACACTTTAAGGACCATCTGAGGGAAACCGTCTCATCTTGGGAACTGCACTTTAAGGACCATCTGAGGGAAACCGTCTCACCTGGGAAGCCCACTTTAAGGACCATCTGAGTGAAACTGTTTCAACCTGGGAAGCCCACTTTAAGGACCATCTGAGGGAAACCGTCTCATCTTGGGAACTACACTTTAAGGACCATCTGAGGGAAACCGTCTCATCTTGGGAACTACACTTTAAGGACCATCTGAGTGAAACTGTCTCAACCTGGGAAGCCCACTTTAAGGACCATCTGAGGGAAACTGTCTCATCCTGGGAAGCCCACTTTAAGGACTAACTGTATCAAACATTTTATGGGGTTCAAATCATGCATATGTTGTGTGGTTACAATAACATTTTCAAGTATTGAATTCATTTATCTCTCGCCCAACTATTTATAAATAAATATCCATGAGACTATTTCTTACGATAAAAGATATGACCATTGCATTACATATCCATGAGACTTAGTATAACTTATATGACTATTGCATCGTATTATAGCCAAAGAAATAAGATCCTGTTTCTCAGCCTCGCTGCAGATTTCTCTTACCACGACCCAATGAACATTTAACTTTTAATTTTGTCTGAAACATTCAGATTCTAATGAATATATTTTATAAATATGTATTTGGCAATTGAAAAAAAACTATCAATGAATCATTTCCAGCCAAGCTAACAAACAAAAGCAGTATATCAGAAATTAACATTACTGAGACTGACTTGAAAGGCAGAAACAATAGATGAATAATTACTCAGTTTTACTTGGAATGTGGCCCTCTTAACAGCGGGGTGGGAGCAATTAATTAATCAATTAGACATTTCTAATCTCAGAACGTTTGATTATTCAGATTAATCTGCCAGTTGAAATAGTGTTAACCAGAGTAAGGTGACATGTCTGTAACTAGTGAAGGTGTCACCCTAAGTGTGTGTGTGTGTGTATTACCGGTCACATGAATGATGCAACCAGGTATGGCAGGAAAGTATCAGAAACATAAACATCGGCAATCCCTTCTAAGTAGCCAAGGACAAAAATAATTTATTATGTAGATAGATCAACTTCAAAGAATCAATCACACTTTAATATTTAATATGTACATGACTTACCAATTTTAACAAAAAGTAAGCTACAAATACACTTATTTTGGAACACAATGAATTCAATGCTAATATACTTGCAGACTTATGATGTTTTATAAAAACTGTTAAAATTATAATCAATAGTAAGCTTAACACATAGATGATACTCAATGATAGTGTAATAGTGATTAAAGAGATAGTCTCTTAAGCTTTCTTAGAATGGATTTTTGATTGCCATAATTTATGTTAATAAATGAAACAAAATAAATTCTTTTTTTTTTTTATTAATACATTGAGGTAGGCCTACTTACTTTCTGTTGCTTGTTTTTCCTTTTAGTAAATATGCTCACATCTTCATGAACACGGTCCAGCAACCACAACAGGAATTCTTGTGCATCATGTTGATGATCACCTTTATATTGAGCATTTAGTTTGCCTACCACAGACTTAAATTCCTTGGATATATCACTTGTGTATTTTCCAGACCATAATCCTTTCAAAAGTAGTCCCAGGTGTTCAGTAACTTCACCATAATTTGAACGAAACATACTTTTCTTGCCATTTTTACTGTTTTTCAAATCATTTTTGTAGAAGTCTTTGATAAAATATTCAGTGAATGAATCTGTATTGCTAAGGCATTGGAGTACTGCATTCATAAAACAACTGTTGCCATGGTTGTAAATTCCAATAGTACCAGGTGTCTTTTTCCATTTTGGTACAGCTATTCCAATGGTTGGGTCTGTAATCAATGGACGAGCTGTTGACATTGTGCCTGAGTCTGATTGCTCGTCAGAGCTCTGACTCTTTCCATGAAACCCTTCACCAAATTGTCTGAGATCAGGTGTCCATATTTTTGATAAATGATTAGCACGAAGTTTATCCACTCGTTTCAAAGGTTCATTGAATTTTGGTAAGCTAGACTCTTTATTAACAAATGCACGACTTACAACCTTTCTCATTGACTTAAAAAACTTAGTTCGCCTAGATGTCACAAAGCTATTTTGACTTTGAGAACTCACTTCGCCATCGCTGTCAAAAGCATCAGTACTTAAATCTAAGCAATTAGAATTACGACTGCTGTTATTGTTTACATGGACTACTTTTCCGGGGCCTTTCCTGTCGATTTCCCCATGTCGTTCACTTAAATTAACAAACAAGGGCCCACACAATCCTTCATCCAAAATATCACCATCAGAAGAAGCTCTAGGTCTTCCACCAGGTATAACTTGAGACATTATTGTTTAAACATCACTGCATTTGTGATGTTCCCTGTTATGATTATCAATACGAAAACATTATTTTTTGCACCTGTGTGTACGTCAGCCATATTGTTTTTGTGTTATAGAATCTTGGGATAGTGCTCATATTCCAGATTCTTTCCAGGAGAAAACCGAAATTAAATAGTTAACTGTCAAATATGTTCTTATTGATTTGATATATCTTAATTTTTTTTAAAAGTATATTTTTAATGAAGTATTCAAATATTGTATACTACATATTCATTCTCAATTGTTTTATAATTTGAAGAAAATATTAATTATGAAAAATCAAGTTTTAGTAAATCGGTGTTGAAGATACCGGGCTTTGTCTTTTACTCATTATTTCCATCTTTTTGAGCCATTAAATATGCTGATACATGAGAAATATTTTAATATAAGTAAGCTCATCCAAAAAAATCTTATTATAAATATTTTTAAAGTAAAAATCATCTTCACGGGATTTACTCAAATAAACTATTATCATTACAACCTGGCATAAGGAGTAAAGGGTCTTTCACAGTGAACACCTGAGGATATCTCTTTCACCAGTACTATATGCTAATAACCGTATTCCATATTTATCAATTATACTATCTACACGATACCAACGATACATTGGACTTAAGATAAAATTTATGTCTATTTTTCAAAGACAGTATGGTAAAATACAAAGATTTCATCAATATCAAAAAAAATATTCCTTCCGATAATTTAGTAAGTTAAAAAATTATTATAGAATAGTGGCGTAACTACATCACAACCAGCCCTACTACATCAAGTTTTGTCTACCCCCCTTCCCAACTTGGTCCCAACTCTAAAGATTGTTTGATTCACGCAACCTAATCGTAATGACATCACTATGATTTATGAAAATTGTTGAAACATTAACATGCCATTAAGTTTTGATCTTCGTTTTGCTTGGCAATTCTTCTCTATAAAAGAAAAATTGTAAAAAGTTGATAAAGTTCATTAGATTGCGGTAATATTACATATGAATACTTGTATCAGTTGAATTTTCCTCACATTTCATCGTCAGTAGCGGTATTAAATGCGCGAAACGCCTTGCGTTTTGCCTAATGCAACAACTACAACCAAAGTTCATCGAATCTAAACTATTAATATTTTAATTATGAATATGTCAAAAAGTGTTGTATATCATTAGTATTTAAATAATGTACGGCGCATGTTGACTGCAAGTGCCCCCCCCCCCGAGCAAAAATATGTCCAACCATGTCCCTGGGGGGAAATTTCTGAAATAATCACTGGTTGACTGTACATAGAGTGTGGTACATGTTGAGTAGGTCTATATGACTATATGTATAGAGGAGGTCTATTAAGTGTGGTAATCAGCCTTCTGCACACCCACAGCCAAATTTAGAATTTTCACAGATACGATGAGTAACGGTGGTCATGGTCGATTTCGACTGATGAATTATACATAAAGTGTGGTACATGATGAGCAGTGGCCTCACTAGGGCTGGTGTCATTCAATGCGGTAAACTAATGGTGTCACTCTCACTTTTCCCTTTGGCGTCACCCCCACTTTTTGAGTGCAGTGGGGTGGGCCCTGCAATCCGTGTGGAAATTTAAGGGGCAAATAATTGTAATGTGAATATATATACATATATCAACTGTGAATGAAGTGCGGACAAAAACCGAAAATTGGTAGAGGGGCCTTAAAAAATCACGCGACAGCTCTGTTCCCCTGCCGTCGATGCTGTCAACAAGTCTTCAACCTCTAGCCCCCGCCCCCCCGTGATACATGTTGATTATGTTATAATATATATATGTATACCTGTATATTTTGAACTTGTAAAGCTGGAAATTTAAAAAATTAAATTATTTTATTGCCGAAATTCTATTGAAGTTCTTCAGCGTCAAAGATTTGAAAAAAACAACACACATACACACAAACACCAAAGAAACTTTTCTCAAGAACCATAATTTTTGTAGTTGCTGCTACTGCTCATAGATTTGATTAATGATAATCATACTTAATCATAGTAGTAGAAGTTTTTATTGCAAGAAGTCGATATCTTTAACTCCAATACTTGGGAGTAACAAAAAATAACTATTTTAACTAAGGCTAAGGAGTGCAGAATCATGAATGTAGTCGTAGAAAAGTTTTGGAAACCCGGGCCGAATAGCCACTTCGAATAATGAATGAATAAGTAATGGTCACCATCCACATGAAATTAGTATTTTAAAAAGTTAATTTTTTTTTTGTTTGAAGTACAGTACAGTTACTAAACACACAATTAGTATACCTATAAATTATAGTATAAATAAAACAAGAGTATTGTTAAAAACCAATTTAAAAAACTAAAAATGAAAATTGATTTATCTTTTTGTCAATAAGTCAATTTAATTTTATAATACTATTAACTATTAATACTAATAGACTTAGACTCGATTTCCTACTTTCTTGGTGTCGAAATCATGAATAATTGTAGACACTTTTTATTTAATTTAATTAACATTTTTAGAGTTAAGTCTATTAATAAAGTAATTACTTTAAGGTGACCACTCCTACTGTTTTCAGAAGTCACTGAAACAGCCACAGCGCGGACTGTTGTTTTGATTTTTTACATTTGTCCTGGCCTGAGGTGAGTATTGTACAGTTAAAGTTTAAAGACTACAAAATTAAAAGTGATACACTTAACAAAACCTGGTGTAGCAGTAAGCTACATTCATTGGCATAGGAAAAGGGGTAGGGGCGTAAGGGATTATTTAATCTTTCACTGAACTGATAGCTAAAACAGTTTAATTTAGGATATATATCAAGCTTTGACGGATTAATTATTATAAACCATATTTATTAAGGGCAAGTACAGTTTGACAGAGATTTTCCTACATTCCAGCTATAGCCTCATGAAATATCTGAAAATAAAATGTTAAATTAATTTTGATATTGACAAAAAATTAATAATAGAAATAAATTAAGTAAAACAAATTGAAGTCTAATAATATGGAATGCTTTACATTCAATTAGGTGTATCCTTTTTAAAATTGTTAACATCAAAATAATGGCAAATAATCAATAACTCAATATTTTATTTCAAATTCATTATCGAAATCCATTTGACCAATTTACTAAATAATCTTATTGACAATTTGTTTAATTAATACAGTCCCTTTGAGGGGAAGTAACAAGGTAATAATTAAAAGCTCTAAAAAGTGATAGCTAGTTAATGATAATGCCTTTAATTTACAACGTGTAACTAGAAACCCCTTGATTGAGTAGGACATTTAGCATGATTTTAAATTTAAAAAATTATTTAGAAAGCCTCCATGGATCTTGTTTAAGACGTTAGTGAATGTATTAATTTTAAAAATTACTTGTTTTCACTTTTTATAGGCATTACAAAAATGCGGACCTGCACCGTGGGCGGAAAGATTTCTAACTTTTTTATCACTTCTCCAATTGGTGATATTGAAATTTCCTGCTGTGCTAAAGGATTGCACCTAGTAACACATTGTGCAAAAGATGACAGTAATTTTTCTCCAGATCAAAAGTAAGCATTGACTGATTTAGACCTAGCGTACTTTTCTTATTGCAGTTGCATACTTTTCAGTTATAAATTTGTGAAAATTATTAGGAGTGGCAGTGGTTACTGGGTTACTGCACTCATTTGTGACATCAAGGATTTCTCAAGGTACCCTGTGTTTTAAGATACTCAGCAATTCTAAAGCTTTTTTATAAATATTCCAGATTTGTTCCTTCAGCTGTAACTGAACTGACAGGTGATTTAATTTTGCATTGGCTGCTGATTTTTAACACAACAAATATTTGGTGGTTTAGTTTTTCGGCTCTTCTCTAAATATAGCTTCCTGACTTAACTTACAAGGATTTCTTTCGTTTTATGTTGCACTGTACTTGATGCTAACCAATTTTGAATGTTAAAAATGAACAAAGTGAGTAATTATTATTAACACTACAGGATACCAGTGTCAGTGAAATCAGATACAGACCATAATATAACAGAATGTGATGCAGCTCACCAAAGCTATATTTGGCTCAAGAACTTTTTTACCCAAAAGATTGCTAGCCCAAATATTCCTCCACTATGCAGTTCTGTTGTAAAAGCAGGTGACTATACAAATATTCATAGTTAAAAGGAACACTTCTATTTCTTACATAACATATATTTTAATTGTTATGATTTGGTAATTTTTTATTTCTTTTTGCTAAAGCAACTATGGTCATAGTTGGAACTCAAATCTACATCAAGCCAGCATAACCATTTTCTATTTAATGAGTTTTTTTTGTTACATATGCTTTTTATGCATTATAAGAGTTATTTTTTTCTTTTTACACCAGATACATTCTGTGCAAAGGCTTTACAGCTTTTACCCAAAGAGGCACCATTTGGTACAACCATAACATATAAAGATCTGGCAAGGAGTTGTGGGAATGTAAAGGCCTGCAGAGCTGCTGGCCAAGCCATGTCAACTAATCCAGTTTTCATAATAATTCCATGTCACAGAGTTATCAATTCTGATGGTGGCCTTGGTAACTATGGGCATGGCAAGAAAAACAAAATAAAACAATGGCTTCTGGAATTTGAAAAAAATATACACTAAAATGTTATGAAAGTTGACAAATTTTTTAAATAAATATTTAAAAAAAAATAATTTTGAAGTTCAATTTTTAAAAGTATTAATTTTCTTACTTGAGAAAAGATGCTTGGTGACATCAAAAAGACTTGTGGTATAATATTCCATTCCAAATCTAGGTCAACAACACATTTGTAATGTCACATTTTTTATAAACAAAATCTTTCCTTGACTTGCCACTTGCAATTCAATATTTGCTCATAAACCTGCTCATAGCATATGCTTTAGTTATGACTTGATATGGTTAACTTCAAGACCATCAGTGCAAAACTCACAAGAAGTGAAATTAACAACAAGAAGTAACAAATTTAACAAAAGAATTATTTTTTTTATTGATTAACAGTTCAAGGACTAATCCAAAATAACTATACCGAACATCAAAGAAAACACAAACTGAATTGATGAAAGTATAAATAGGGAAAAAGATCACAGTTTTGACACATATTATGAAAATTCTGAATCAATGGAGTAGTATAACAATGAATTTAAATAATTGAACATGTCACAATATTCAAAGCATTCAAGATGCTTTATTAATGAAAATGAACCTAGTGAAACAGCTTTGGCTAATTTTTACTACTATAATTACACAATGAGATAGAATGAGTAGCAAGAAACACTTTAGGAATGATTTTACCTCTGTTGCCAACAATGAAATATTGAACATTTGAATATGCCCTGTTGGGAGTTAAAATTAATTTGTTTGTGCAACTGCTAAGAGAAATTTGCTATCCATATGTATAAAAAATCACAATTTTTATTTTTGTATAACTCTGTCGAAAGAATGATCAGTTAAGAAACATAATAAATATTTGTGAAACATGACTATGGATGGTTTCATATTTATGTCAGTATAATGCTTACTACCTGTTGATTAAAAATATTACAAATGTAAAAAAAATAATATCAAAATCTAATGTTAAAATATTTATTTTTAAAAAAATAGCTCATGGAGCTTGGCAAGGAGAAAAAAAAAAATTGCTAACTCAGTGTTTTCTTTAAATGATCCACTGCTAACTAAATATACCACTTAACTTTTGTAAGGGCAGACATTTTAAAAAAAAGATGAATAAGACTACAGATATTTTTTACAATGTGTTCACATTGTAATCAGATTTTGCTCAATATTTAAAGACTGAGATTTTTTGAATGAATTCCCTATCATTTTTTTGTTTTGTTGCATTTACATGCCACAGTCCGGCAAAAATACTAAAGCCACAATAAAACATCAATCTACATTTAAATAAATCATGTGGTTTTGTTTTGGTAAAGGACTAATAATGATTGGGATACATAATTTCAAATTAATTTCAGAACTTATCTGCATTAACTTTAACACAATCAACACTTATATTAAATGAGACAAAAGAATTATAAATAATCCACAGATAGTGAAATATGAAATTATATACCGGTAATATAAGCAATAAAATAAATGTGCTGCCATTATTTAGTTGTATTTTAAAGTTCTAATGTAGATTTTGAATTGGATCACTGTCACATTTTATTTAATAAAATGCTAAATCAAATCTGCCCTGAAAATTTTTTATGTACCTGGTATGGTGAGCAGATTAAAAAAAATAGTGGCAAAATTATAATGCCAGTAATGCTAGATGTAGCACATTGAAAGTGCTATGTAAACATACATGAGGTAAGTCACAATTGCAGCTGGCTCTATTTGTACTAATTTGGTAGTGGGGATATACTCAAAAGTTTAAGAGAATTTAAAATGTAACATCCACACAAATAAAAAATGCTTCTGAAAAATAAAACTCAATTGTATCTGATTGCTTAAAAAGCATAAAGATCATTTCATTGTGAACAAAACACAGCTCACATTTAGATATAATTTTTATTAATAAGATTTTATTTAGCAAATTAGCTGTTGGTAAACATAGGTAATCAGTCCATAAAAAGGCAGCTTACTTTAATTTGAGATAAGCATTAAACATAGATTGGAAAAACCAATGGATATTGGCAGACCCCAAGCCCTTTGAGAGGCAACAGGACTAAAAAATATCAGGCAGTCTTGGATCTGATTTAACTGGCAGGAAGATTGCAAAATGGACGTTGAACTTGTAAGTTTTAATGATGGGAGCAAAGAGGGCAAAAATTCAGCAGATAATATTTTTTAAAAACTTAACAGACATTATAATTATAGATAAGTTCAATATCTTTCCACAGTTTGAAGGCAGAGATACTGGTCTCCATAAATATTTTATTACTATTGCAATATTTTTCAAGTATCCAAAAAAACTAGAGCTTATACATCAGCAGGATTTTTTTTTCAGAACCCATATTCAGGGCTACTTTGGTGCAGGAAAAGAAAAGTGGATACACTTTTTTTAAATATATTTTTAAAAGCAACATTTAAAAAAAAAAAGACTTGAATATGATTCAAAATAAGAGTAAACAAAAAACATTTTTAGTAAATAACTACCGGTACCAAAGTTAATTTTGACAATAATATAAAATATTATACCATGAAAAGACACTGCCAGTAGAAGCTAAATGATAAAATTTTTGTCACATACCCTAATGGACAGAGACATAAAAATGGCTGCCTAATGCTGGTAAAAATAAGTGGATGTTAAAGGTTATTTAAAGACAAGTCAGAGATGGACAGTCTAAATAAGTTTCAATGCAACAGTTATCAGACAGCAGAACAAAACACAAGCAGATGTTTTTGTTTAAATTAATTTTGAACTTTACACCATCACTACCTTTTATCTAGAAAATAGTTAGCTGCCAGAAAAGAATATTAAATTCACCACTAAATAAAAATTTGTTTGTGAATTTTAGATTATCTTCACTCTGCAACAACACTTTCTAAATTTTAAAGTAAAGTTACCTACTCATGTCACTCCTAAAAGTAATTTCATATTATTAATATTAAAGTTCAAAAATTGGAAATATTTCCTATGTTTGTGATTGAAATATGAAACAAACCAGCAATATTTCATGAGGACTGTGATGTAGTAAAACATAATCAGAAAAAGCTAGGTTTAATTATGCACCTGAATTTAAATACCACATTTATTTCTAAAATATTTTAATAAGGAATGGAATTTTTTTGTTTAAATCTCAATGACAAACAGTAACTCAAACTCTTGTCTTCCGTTGCATTTCAACTATTAAGAATGAGAAGAATGAATCGATACAGAAATTAAATCTTACACTACTTGTATCGAGGGACTAAGTCAATTGAGAAGGGATACCTTGAACTGGTACATATAAATGTATATCTGAAGTGTGGAAAGCCCCACAGAGGATTTTATTGTCTGTCAAGATCTAGAACAAAAACTTTATTTAAGATTTTTTAAAAAAAAGAAAGTACCGTACCGGGGCCCAACTTTCGTAAGTCGTAATTAAAAATTATATTTGCCATGGGGGAAAAAATGAAACTTTGAAATATTATCAACTGGAGACAAATACTTAAAAAGAATTTTCTAAAGCTAAAGCTCTTCCGATTGGTTATGAGACTGCAATTCTAGAAAGATTATCTTAAAATTCCATGATCTTAAACAAATATTTAGCATGGATAATGTTAAATTTGATTAATTGTAAAATGGACAAAAAGAAATAAAATTAAAAATTTGAACCAAGAATATATCTATTTCACATGGAATAATATTTTTATGTTATCCAAGTAATAGAAAAAATGTACACACATTTTTTTTCAAAATGTTGCCGTAAGTTTTTATTTCCTTATTAATCTGTATTCATCTTAAAACATTCCCCTTATTCAATTCCATAAGTGAGTTCCGAATAGTGCCTGCAGTAGTTTAAAACAATTTTAACAGTTTATTTTTATTGAGATGTATGCCCTTTGCCAGATTCTTGGCTTTTAAAATAGAAATCACTTTTTTGTGGAACGTAAGAGTTAGATAAAAATCATGTGTTTGATGCATCATTTTTAGCCAACTTGTCATGGCCAATATTTTACGGTCTTTATTTTATTAACATTTAATTGATAAATATAAAATTATTTTCCTTTAGCATGTGGCAAAGAAAAAAAAAATGTGTTGTTTATAGATGTAAAGTCCTCTTTCTAATATGCTTAACAAGGTTGTCTGACTTTAATTAGCTTTCAGGTTTTTTTCAAAATATTATATCAAATTTTGATGATGGGAAATGGAGCAGACAACATTGTTGGCATGCTATTTTTTTCATTAGTTAAGTTTAAAAATTCTCCATGCTGTTGTGGTTAATATTAATTAAATTTATAAACAAAATACATATTTTCCTTGCAAAAATGTTAATTTACTACAATCTAATATAATTAAATTTCTTTTCCCTGTAAACTGAAATAGAAAGTACCAATTTTAATGATTTGTTTGTTTTCTAAAACAACCTGTCGTTTACGTGACTGAGCAGTTGAAGTGAGCAATCAGAATGGAACATTCATCTACAGAAACATCATCTCATCTTACTTTGCCTTTTGCTGGGATCGGTTTTGATGGTTCTGTTGAAGAGGGCTGCAAATTCAAATAAATAGTTAATTATTAGTAAATTATAGTGTATGGCTATTAATTTAATAACAGATACTAATTAATGACTTTTCTCCTTTTCCTTATATTCCCAAATATTGGCATACCCTCAATCATGTAAAACTCACTGAACTGAAATGTTGCAACTTCATGAGGACCAATAAAGCATTCCAATTACATTGCAACATTCATTAGTTGTAAAATAAAATTGCTTTACAATCATCATTTAAAATAAAATATTTTACTGGTATTAAATTTACAAGAAAATTAATATAATTCTTAGAAACGTAGTTATTGAGGCAAATAAAAGTATAAATTTTAAAATAAAAATAAAAGTGACGGGACCAATATTATATATTAAAATGAAATTTGGCTTGCTTGAAATGTTTAACAGTAAAATTTAATGCAAAAGTCAATATATTATTTGTTCATATTTACAGATCTACTTTTTTAGATAGAAATTAAGTTAAAAGTCAGGGGTAGCAGACAAAGTTGCCCAACTATAAGTATAGGAGAAGCAATGTCTTTCCCCATTATTTAAAGTTGAAGCAGATTAAGGCAAAATTAATATCTTAATATCTAGAAATAGAAATAAAGTGATAACAGTCCTACATTTATTATCAAGAAATATTAGTCAGTTTGATAGTGCAATAATTCCAACAAATCATACTTACTTTCAGAATCTTGAAAGAACATGTGAGATCTTCAGAAACAATCATGACTGCTGCTGCATTATCAAACTCACCGCAGTAATTAGGAGCACTAAATATTGTCACTAACTGTTGAAATAAAAATATAGAGGTTAACTGATAGGTTAATCCATTACCTAAGAAAATTGTAGAAGTAACTAAGTAGCAGAAGTAGTAGTAGTAGTAGTGGAAGGTTTTATCATTTTCTTATACTTTTCAAAACATGGAAACATACAAATTAAAACTAATGTTATGGCAGATTGAGTTGTTTTAAATAACTATATCAGTTAATCCATCCCTGTGGCGCTACAGCCGATGTAGGGCTTTGGCCTGCCTCACCACTCCTTCCACTCAGACCTAACTAATAATAATAATAATAATAATAAGTTGTCTTATATAGTGCGGTACCCCGGCCTAGGGCTGGGCTCTAATGCTTTTCTTTTCCATGCTTGGATTCCCAGCTGATGTAGATCTTTTTCCATATTATCTATCCATCTAAGCCTAGGTCTGCCTTTGAGCAGTTTTCCTCTGGGGTTTTGTTGGTGCACCCTCTTCATTTTTCTGTCATTTTGCATTCTCTCTAAATGTCCCACCCAAGCGTAGGCTGCCCTTTTTTATTTCTGCTACTAGCATGGGATCCTGATATAGACTATACAACTGGTTGGCTCGTATTCTTCATCCATATTCATCCTATGTTGGTCCATATATTTTCCGGAGAACTTTTCTCTCACATGTTTTTAATAGGTTTTCTGCCATTTTTCTTAGGGGTCCAAATTTTACTTGCGAATGTTACAAATGGTTTGATTACAATTTTATAATATAAATTGTTTTTTTTGTTTTTCTTTTGCTTTTCTTTTTTACTTTAGTGTATTTTCTGACTACTGAAGCATGCACTGTTTCCGGCCTATATTCTTTCATTTATTTCTGTACGTAATTCATCAGGTAATACAAAATATAATACATAATCTTGGGTAATACTTAAAAAACAAACAAATACCTTCCGTTTCTCAAAAAATGCATAGCCATCTTCAACAACCTGCAATCACATGAAATAATGTACATACAGTAGAGGCATTATAAGATGAACTGAATTTGAATACATAAATCTTACAGTAGAGTCATTATAAGATGAACTGAATATGAATACATAAATCTTACTATATACAAATATAACAACACCAAATGTTCACAAGAGACAAAAAAAAACAACTCATTTCATAGTAAGTTAAGTTTTAAGACTGACCTGGTGTGCTCTTGCGATCAAGCTGCAACTAAACCGTCTCAAATATTCCTTGACTATATCCCCTCCAAATGTGTATGATACGCCCCTGTCATTTTCTCCCCACCCGGTTATGTCCTTCACAAAAAAAAACATGCAAATTAATATATCATTATCTTTCAAGTGTGAGCAGTTTTCACGCATCAGGGAAATGCTTATATTAGTTTTGTGTTAGCTCAGTAGCTCAGCCGGTCCGTGTCAACATTTGAAGTTTGACTGACCAGTGGAAAAGTTTACCATTGCACCAGGGACCAGTGACAGATTTAAGTTCAATATAAAACTATATTAACAATTACCATTTGATGCTTGTTAATGGCCTATAAAATAAGAGAAAGCTTATTAAAAAGCTTCTTTTTCAAAGTTTATTTTTAACATATTTAAACTTAAATCTTAACAGGGTGAATGTAAAAGTTTCTTGACTCAAGTTGTGTGGACCACCACCGCGGGAAGCACTCAACTAAGCTACATGTTTTTTATAACATCGTGGCCTGGCAAGGAATTTAAAGGGGTCAAGTCTGATTAAATAAACTTTTCAACATTCTGAAATTTCATTCTACAACAAAGCTTTGTCACTACTTTTGGTTTTACTAGAGCTGCACAAACATAAACATATTGAACAGAAAATAAATGCCAAAAATGTGCAATGAAATTACTGCTTATGTATTTATGAATTGATGAAGTAATATGGGTTCCATCACTCCGATCTGGTTAGGTGTTGAGTGCTTACCTCATCTGGATCAGACCACAGAATGTCACACAGCAGGCCATGATCAGGTACATCACTCGGTCGGTGAAGTTGGCGGATCTGAAAATTAACAAAGTTAAATGAACACTCATCACATAATTGGATGAAAGTTCACTCAATTTAATTTTCTATTAACTTTAAAAATTGGATTTGTGGTTAAACTGAAAATCATCTTTACAGAATGAGATGTCCAGATAGTTAAAACATTAAACATTTAATCTTCCTATTGGCATGCAAGTGCTGTTTATGTAACTTGTATACAATGGACTATATTATGTACATTCCATCCATTCTACTTAACACTAATCCAAACAAAATGGTCAAAGATTAACCATTAATGATAATTTTTTACTTGTACACAGCAGTGAAAAAGCATTGGATTGGTCAGCTTACTTAAGCAACACTAAATATTGCGGTAAATTAGGATTTGATTGGTCAGCTCACATAAGCTACTCTAAATATTGCAGTAAATAGGCCTTTACTTGGTCAGCTCACATAAGTGACACTAAATATTGCAGTAAAATGATCTGCTTTTTTAGTTTTAATGCAAGAATAGTTCACTGTGTACCTGATCTAATTCTGTCAGATCAGGTGAAAGGCCTCCATGCATACACAAAATAGTACAATCTACAATGGCAGCTGAAAATAAAATTAATGAGACTAAAGTAAATCAAAGGTAACAGTGTATTAATTTTAGATTCTAAAAATTCAAGATTCAAACAAAAATTCTTCGAAGTCTTATTAAAAAGGGTGAAACCTTTTACTTTACAGAACAAAACAATTAACATTAATGACATTATGGCTTTAAGGAGTGGCCTCATTTGGCAGCCAATACAAATTATTACTATTACTACGGCTATCCCTATCTATGCATTAAAAAAACAAAAGAGAAACATTCTAAAAATTATACAGCCTTTGTATGAAATTTAAATTCCAAAATTCCAATAAAATCTTGACAAAATTTTATACTTTGATGTAAATGTTATCAAGATTGATTAATCAATAACAAGTTGATAAATTACAGGATGTTAATGATTTTGTTTTAAATATTGAAATAAGATAAGTTAATCTAAAAAAGGGTCCAAATCAAAGGATCTTATCACCTCTGACAACCTTCATCAGAGATGAAATTTTTATACATCCAATAAATTGGAAATAAAATTGATTCAAAAAACTAATAAGAAAACAAGAATTAGTGTTGATAGAATAGAAGAAAATTATTCATACAAAAAATAAAGAAATGAAAATAGTCATAATAATCCAAAAAAAATGTGTTAGTTCTGTTTTTCAGAAATATGAGGCATGAATGGTACAAATCCCTGGCATGCAATACAGCTGAAATCAGGAAAAGAACTGAGATTGTCTGAATAAAAACTTTAAAAATAAAAAATTAGATGTATAAAAAAAACTCTAGTCATTAAGTATGATGTTAAAAATATTACATTAATAAATAGAGTTGACAGAGAGTGGAGAATAACTTTTATATTATACCTGACTAGATTATGGAAAAACTTGTATAATATGCCAGACTAGAATAGGGAATAACTTGTATAATATGCCTCACTAGAATAGGGAATAGCTTTATAATATACCTTAAATAGAATAGGGAATAACTTGTATAATATGCCTGACTAGAATAGGGAATAACTTGTATAATATGCCTGACTAGAATAGGGAATAACTTGTATAATATACCTGACTAGAATAGGGAATAACTTGTATAATATACCTGACTAGAATAGGGAATAACTTGTATAATATGCCTGACTAGAATAGGGAATAACTCGTATAATATGCCTGACTAGAATAGGGAATAACTTGTATAACATGCCTGACTAGAATAGGGAATAACTTGTATAATATACCTTAAATAGAATAGGGAATAACTTGTTTAATATACCTTAAATAGAATAGGGAATAACTTGTATAATATGCCTGATTAAAGTAGATTAGGGAGAAACTAGCATTATATGCCTACTAGAAAGTATTGCTTCATATTCATTTGAAAAATATTTCAAACAATTAGGTTAAACAATTGCACACAGATAAAACATATTCAGTGTAGAAACACATATTATTTATAAGACTCACAAACTGGTAGGCAGTTAAAGCAGTCGGTAAATGTTTTCCACAACTTTATATTATAGCGTCTTTTACACTCATCATAGAATCCATATATTCTGTGACAGAGTTTGAATGATGGAAAAAGATTTGGTTAATATTGGTTACATCGGGCTACAGTAAGAAAAGCTGAAATATATATTTGCTGACTGTGAATAGCGAAATGTTAAAGCTTTTGGCCACACAAATGTGTTCTTTCGTTGCCTCCATTTAGCTCAAGTTGAGAAGTACATGCGCCAGAAGTTTAGATTTTACTGTTAGCGGAACATTATTAGTTTTGAGATTATGGGGGAACAAAAAAAAAATGCTTTCACAAAATAACATAGGCCCTACCCATAGCTACAACAGAGGTGGCAGATTTTATTTCTTTATTCCAAAAGATGTTAACACTTGGTGCATTAATTTATATTGAGGTAAGTGTAAAATGTTTCAAGCCATTACTTATAATGTTAAGAAACCTAAACTATCTTTTTTTGTTATGCAACCAGAAAATGCAAAGGCACATTGTATTAGAATGTAAAAGTTCCTCATTATAGATTCTCTCACAACTCAGGAAAATGAGAAGCCAAGAACACAATCAGATCAAGTATCATTGTAACAAAATGGCTATTAGATTATTTTCACTATGATTAAAACCTTTTTTTTTAAATAGTAAAAATCATTTTAATAATAAATAAACCTGGGGAATTTAAACATTAAAGATTATTCTGATAAAAATCCATTGATATGATTTTTTACAGTTGTATGGTAATATCAATTTAATATTCATTATTTTAATTACATTTATCAACATGTCACATAATTTCCAATTTTGTCTGTGGCTTTTCTCTATGCACTGTACATCTCATTATTTTTTAAATATAATTCTATATTCCATCTTTTCCCCAAGCAAGCCACCTAATACATGCACCATAATAATTTAAATTGTTTTAAAAAATCATCACTACACTACCTCAAAGATTAGAACTACGTGAGTTGTAAATTTGTTAACAAAATTCTAGCTGTCAGTGATTAAGGAAGAGCAAAGTTAAAGATTTGAAAACCCGTTACCTGTTGATAGAAGCACATTCATGGTTTCCCCTCAGCATAAAAAAGTTCTGTGGATACTTGATCTTGTAGGCTAATAGTAAACATATTACTTCCAAAGATTGGCGCCCTCTGTTTTGGAAAAACATCAGCAACATTATCCAAAAACTGTTACGCAAATGAAGTACCACCCACGACATGGACATCAAATAGAGCTAAATATAGTACCTAATTGTATAAATACTGCTAATAATTTGTATCATCCAAGTCATCACATTGTTAGGACCTGTATATCCCAATTAATATAACTACTGGCTTGGATTCAAATAACTTAAAATATATCATCTGAATTCACATTCAGCAATTAGCTATCACTTTGACAGTCTTACCAGGTGAGATAACTCATTTAACAAGAGGAATCACTGGTAATAGTAAACTCATGAATCATACATGTTTGTTTTTTTCCTGTATTTCTGACTGCCTGTTCTTAAATGACAATGAACATGTCTGCCTGCACTAAGCTGTGATAGTAAGCCCCACCTGTCAACATAGTCTCCTAGAAAAAGGTAGTTTGCATTTGGTGGATATCCGCAAGCGTCAAAGTGTCGTAGCAGGTCATCGTACTGGCCGTGAATATCTCCTATGATGTTGACAGGTGCATCCAGTTCCACCAGCATGGGCTGTTCCATAAATATGTCTCTGGATACTATGCATAAGTGTCGGATATGTGCCTCTGGAAGCTGCACCTGGGAGTTAAGTATTTTATATCCATTCAATTTATCTGTGATGACTGGAAATATTCTAGTCTAAGACATATTAATGATAGAGAGAAATAAAATATCTAGCAACATATATTTAACATTATACTGTTTTTAGAGCAATAAAATTATACATTCTTTCAGTTTTAAAGTCACCAGGGAAAAAGACTTATGCAGAAATTAACAAAGAGGCTCATTTGGTTGAAAGATAACTCTGAATTGGACTTTTAAAACAGTACTAGAACTGAGGGAGTTGATGCTGACCATGACCATGGTGATGGCAGTAAACTTATGAAAATATACTGATGTTCAGCTTAAGAATTTATGTTTTATAATATCTCAGTTTTTTTATATTTATTTCCAAATGGAGTTGTACTCCTTTGTTTAGAATAGTAGATTAAGGATTGCGTTTTAGCAGTGTGAAGGAAATCGTTGAACAAGGTTTAGATCATAGTGGTTAAAACAGAAGTGGGTTTTACAACTTCCTGTCTTAAATGAATTTCCATACCTGTTTGCCCGGTTGATTTTTGCAGCTGAGGAGTTGTGCGATGATGGCATCAATATCAATGTGAGCCCCTCGGCTCATGGTGAGATGCTAGACTTGGTTCTTTACTAGAAAAATAAACTATTAGACCATTTCATTTTCCTAAAACCTAATAACATTAAAGTGTATAATACAGAAAATAGTTTGCTGATGGTGTTAGCAAACCAGTTGGGTCATGTATGGTGAAGATGTCCTAATGGCACACGCCATCAAAATCTTAATGCTTGACAATAAAAATTAGTGTTTATGTTGTAATCAAAACAGGAGAGTATAGGCACACATTTACAATGTAGCTTACTTTTGCTACATGTACGAACATCAAAAATTGGAACTTACCTCGTCCCACTACTTAGCTGCTTTTTGCACTCTAGACTGATTATAGTTGTAAATCATTCCAAAAGAAATCTCCAGCCTAGAAAATCTCATTGGTATTACTTTCCTATTTGTGGTTCTCTTCCCTGTAAGTGAAGAGAGAACATGTATTTAACATAAGAGTTGTACTTTGCTTAGGCTTGATGAGTCTTTAGATTAGATTAAATTTATTATTACCATATTTTCAGGGGTATGGGAAGCAGTGGTGGTGTAGGATAAGACGCCCCCCCCCCCCTTTATTAAACACATTTTTAAGGGGGGGAAATGCTACACTACTACTACTAACTACTGGCACAACATATCCACCCCTTATTTTAGGCATGTTTTGAGGGAAAAGAAGTGTGGAGGGAAAAGAAGTGTGAAGGGCATTGTGAGATTGCTGTCCTACATGCCTACATAGGACTACTCTACTGTGTTGGAATACCGAGACTGAAGTGAATAATTATCTATTCTTAATTATACTTTTAAGTATTAATTATAATAAATACTACAATAGTGTAGACTACAAATTAACTGCACTTTTACAAATTAACTCACTACTCACACATTCACATCTAATTCATATATATTTTAAAATTATATATTAGTCCTAGCCTGGCCTTTACTTTTACTTTACTACTTTTTGACTTTGTTATTTTTATGCCAACTTCTACAAGTCTTACTTAGTCTACTAGTACTACTAGCTAGTAGCCTACTACAACTTACTTATATTTATGCTACTAAATAACTAAGTTATATACCATCATCAACTGAAAAAAAAAAAAAAAAAAAGCCTCGTTAAATTTTGGGGGAAATTAAGACTAGTAACTAGTAGTAGTAAACCTAAAAATTAAATATTTTTTTGTAGCCTACATTTCAGTTGTGAGCCCCAACCTAAGAAAGCTTTATGAATATCAGAATTTGCATAATTAAAAAAATGGGTACCAAAAAAATAAAATAATACCATAGCCATAGTCCTATATGATCAGGCATTTTATGTGAAAACAAGTTTAAAGAAGAAAACGATTCATTCCCACTTAACCGGCTGCCTGGAAATCTTCAGCAACAAAACATAAACATGATTTTAATATGCTGTACATGCTTACTTCCCTTGCTTCAATTTTTATCCAATCGAGAACGTTAGAAAAATAATCTATGTGAATAATGCCTGTAAAATAATTAATTACATACTTATCTTAATTTGGGTTTAACTGTGTAATTTACTAAAATATATTAAAAGCTTACAAAAATTCAAATGAACAAAGTTTATAAAATGCATAATAACTATCAAACAATAACTGCCCAACGTAGGGCGCCTAGGCCTAGAGCCTAGGGCAGGCTATGACGAATAAATTGAATATTATGCCTGCCACTAAAATGTCACTATGTTTAATAAATAATGAATGAATGTGTAATTAGGCAGGCTAACTAATAGGACTACGCTAAGAGAAGTCAATAAATAGCAGCTAGGTAGCTTGGATTAGCTTAGTCGGCATGTGCCTAGTAAACATTCATTCAAAAGGAAACTTCTAGTCTATGTCTTTTCTATTCGGTAACTATATTAATATTGTCCTTAATAATATTTATAGGTCTATAAACCAAATAAAAAAGAGAAGAAAAGACGCGGATTGCAGGCAAGTTATTGCACTGTCATCAACCACTAAGTTTAGGCTATGGCATCCACATGGCATATAATAGGCCCGTGTATTTTCCTTCATAATCCGTGTCTGCACTCTTTATTTGTTCCCTGCATATTGGAACCATTGTCGTAACCTTGGCCTCTGCAGATGTGTAAGTCTAGTTTTCTCTCTTTAACAAAAATCAGTTAGACTATACTTTCATATAATTAACTGCTGTTGTTGGTTTTTTGTGTTTTGTTCTTTTTGTTTGTTTGTTTTTTTGTTTTTGTTTTTTTGTTTGGTTTTTTTTGGGTGGGGGTGGGGGGGGGGGGTAGGCGCATATTGTTGCATATATGTTTTCTTCCCTTCCTTTTTTGGCTGATGTAATGTTTTGATTAAAAAAAAATTTAACTGCCTCACTGTAAAAC